TGCCTTTGCCTCGGCCCCAGCCACCGTGGCTTTGTCTGGAAGGACGTCCGGAAGATGCCTGGTCTAATTAGCATATTACCCTTTTATTAGTATAGATGTGGTACACCGATCAATGAAGTAAAAATTGATTTTTATTTATGGGACGCCAACAAAGCTTTTTAAAATTTCTCCCTAAAATCCAAGTTTTCTATTACAACTAGGATGAGGAATGTTGTACGTTATTTAACTTCAATTCCGTTAGTGTCTCCTCTTCCTCTTACAAGGATTCTCATCAGATTAGGGCCCTACTGTCATGACCCCATTTAACCCTAATTACCTCCCCAAAGGTTCCATTGCCAAATACTACCACATTAGAGGTTATGGCTTTAACATAAAATTTTGGGGAGACACAATTATTCAGCCCATATGTGTCATAATTTTTTCTTCTTTGCATGCCTTGTAAGTTTTATTTCATGCTAGACATTGTGAATTTGTTGAATGCCAGATACTTTTATATTCTTATAAACATCTTTAATTTTTATTCTGGGATGTAGTTAAGTTACTTGGAAGTGGTTTGATCTTTTAGAAACTTATTTTATTCTCTGTTAGAGATAGATAAGAGAAACCTTTATTTTATGGCTAATTTTGTCCCATTACTTTTTTTTTTTAAAAAGAAAAATTCTTTGCATTATTTCTTTAAGCTTTAGTTTCTTCCTATAGAAAATGCTTATGGCTTTTAAATTGCTAAAAGATTATTGAACTGAATGAAATGATCCTGCTTATAAGCTCTGATTATGTATAAGAAAAAGGATATGTTGGCTATTTATGGGCATTGATAGAATTATTAATAATTGTGAAATATTAATAAAGATAATTTAATGATAAATTATTATATAGGAATCAGGCACTTTTTACATACAGTGTGCTTCCTAAAACACTCAGTCTTATCTCAAGAGCTCTTGAGATGTTTTTATGTGTTGTTTCCTTTTCCTTTGTGTTCATAGTCTTACATGCTCATGGCAATCACAAAGAACAGTGTGAACTGTAGTCATCCTGGCTAGCCATTTGTGGACTGTACCTTTTTCTTAAAAGACCCAAATGAGACTTCTGACTCCGCATTCATGATTTTTACTATTCCCCACAGCATGTTTGCTACCGTAAGTTTTTACAGATGGAAATATAATAAAAAGTTTAAGAGCCCATCTCTGGAAATGCATCTTTAGAATTCAAATAGGAAATTTCTGCCATATGAACCTCCATTTTTTATTTATTAGCCAGTTGAAGAAAAATAAAACATCTTACTGTGATCTCACGGAGATTAGGCTCACAGGCTATTGTGAATTTATGAGAAACCATGATGCTCAGCAAGAGAACAGTATACATATTGAAGAAACCATAGATAGTCTATTTTCACGTAAATGGGAGGTGGAGATATGTATTTTCTTTCAACGTGGTACACATTGTAATCTTTTTTCATTTTTTTAAATTTTTATCTCACAGTGTCCCAAGACTCGAGAACCTTGAAAGTGGATGAAGAAACAGAAAACACAATGAGAGTTACCTGGAAACCAGCGCCAGGGAAAGTTGTCAACTACCGGGTTGTGTACCGCCCCCGCGGGGGAGGAAGACAAATGGTGGCCAAAGTGTCACCCACAGTCACCTCGACAGTCCTAAAGCGGCTGAAACCCCAGACCACGTACAACATCACAGTCCTCCCCATTTACAAGACAGGAGAAGGAAAGCTTAGGCAAGGATTGGGAACAACAGGTACCAAGCGATCACTTTTTTGGGAAGTGTGTCATATTTTAAGGAAGACTTTAGGCATCTACTTTATTTGTGTCTAAATTAATTCTGTAATGAATTAAATTAGAATAATTTGATAGGATGCCTGATGGCCTATTATTTTTACCAATGGAGTTCCCAGTAAAGTGATTTTACATATGAATGCTCCAATGCTAATGTAGTATTCTGAATTGTCAGAGTTATTACTTGTCAGAGTTACTTCCACTTGAGGAGCACTCTGGGAATCAGCATTTTACTGAGTATTATATATCGTGATGTCAGCCTTAATGTTCCTATAAATATACATTTTGAAGTGTTATGTTTGTGACGATTCTCATGTATGTCACTTAGACATTTCCAATTCGATTTATTATTGTAGGGACTAATTAAAAACCCCAAAGCCTAGTCTTATGAATAATATTTTAAAATCTTATCTTTACAGCTTCTCGATTTAAGTCACCCAGAAACCTCAAAACATCTGACTCAACCATGTCCAGCTTCCGAGTGACTTGGGAGCATGCTCCCGGGGAAGTGAAGGGTTACAAAGTCACGTTCCACCCGACAGGGGAGGAGAGGACACTGGGAGAGTTAGTGGTTGGACCTTATGACAACACAGTTGTTTTGGAGGAACTTAGGTAGGAATGAACTGTATTTGGTTTGTGTTAAAAGATTGAATAACGTATGTAAATTAGCAGGCCTTGCATAGCAGAGTTTGCCAGCAACTGAAGTTGCTTTCTTACTCTTGGTGCTGGTGAAGATGAGGTTTGGATTCAGAGGCTAGCAACAGAATTTAGGCCTGAGCAGGTTTTTGGGGTTTTTTTTGGTTATGTTTTAATGATTTTTGTATTAAGTGATCAGGGATGGCATTTTTTCAATAACCCCCTGTTTTAAAAAAATTAGCATTCCTATTACACAATTTTGGTTCCTGCGCCTTCTGGAAAGGCCCAGGTGACTCACACGGAGCTTCTGAGGGTGAATCCTCTGCTGGGGTGGGCCATGGACTTGCCCGTGGTGCCAGCTGGCAAGATCGGGGAAGGGTGAGCTGATGAAAAGGCTCACTCCAGGCTGTGCAGTGGAAAACAAGGAAGTTTGAGTTTGAACAGCACCCTACATTCATTAAAGCAGGAAGAATGAACCACTGTGCAGTGCCTTTTTTAAAAGTTTGTTTGTTTCAGCCCTTCAAGACACTGAAGTCTATATAAAAGCTTGCTATTTACTTGATAAAGAGTAGGGAGGATGAAATTTACTGAGCCCTCTATGTGCCAGGCATTGCGCTGGGTGCTGTATGTTACCTTGCAAGGTACAACATTTAAGTTATTTTCTTAAAGCTCCTTGCTTAGAAGCAGTAGGCTGTAGCTCCTTCCTTGACAGGCTCCGTGGCATGTGGAGATTCCACATCTCGTAGGAAGGCGCGACTGAAGCTGGTGCCCTGAAGCCCTACTAGTCTCTAAGCTAGCTTCCCTTGATACCTCCCACTGTAAGCTTAAACCAGAATGTGATGGAAATTATTTTTCTTCTCTTGAAAAGTTATGCATGATAACTTACTTTGAGTAGTGAAAGTTTGTAAATAAAGATTGATATCTCGCCGAAACCGGTTTGGCTCAGTGGATAGAGTGTTGGCCTGTGGACTGAAAGGTCCCGGGTTCGATTCTGGTCGAGGGCATGTACCTGGGTTGCGGGCACATCCCCAGTAGGAGATGTGCAGGAGGCAGCTGATCGATGTTTCTCTCTCATCGATGTTTCTGACTATCTCTCTCCCTTCCTCTCTGTAAAAAAATCAATAAAATATATATATTTTTAAAAAGATGATATCTCTAACAAAGCAAAAAATGCTACCACTTGGGACAATTCTACATACAGACTATATGTTTTCACATTTCAGGGCAGGTACCACCTACAAGGTGAATGTTTTTGGAATGTTCGATGGAGGAGAAAGTTCACCACTTGTGGGACAAGAAATGACAACCCTTTCTGACACAACTGTAATCCCATATTTATCCTCTGGTAAGAAGTTGAGTGACATTTCCCTAAGAAACCTCAGTATTGTCAAACTATTTCAAATAGTCATCATTAGGTTAATCATACAATGAAAAGTGGCTATAAAAATGTTACACTAAAATTTATCTAAATGATTTTCATACTTAAAAATTTCCTAAAAAATCCAGTTAAGCATACTTTTTACATGATAGTGTTAAGGCTTTTCTTGTCAGCATTGCATTCATTACCTAGGACTATTTTATTTAAAGATGAGCTTTATGATAGTTAGATAATGTACATTTTCTCCCTTTTTAACGACTGAAAGGCAATTTGATTTTGTTAAAGTAATGGCAGAAATGATTCATTTGGGCTGAGCCAGCAAAGTTGGGTTACATAAATAGGTGGGAACCACCACTTGGGAAGCAAAATGGTAACATAAACCCTTTAGACATTTTTGTGCTTGCCACGATTACAGCTTTCGGGTACATGAGCTAGTTTCGAACATTCTTAGAGGTGCAAGTGGTGGGTAGAATTGACTTCTAAATATTTTCCATCATTTGCTAAGTGAAGGGTAGATCTGGGCCGTCCAGGAGCAGGCTTGCAAAGGCTTAGGTGCCTGGAATGGCATTTGGGAATCCACAATCCTGACTTAGTGTATAATACACGATGGCAACTTTGCAGTATGATGAACATTGTGTAATTTCCCCCCATGACTTCTTTCTGTAATGGAAAGATCAGAGGCTAGCATCACAAGAGGTGGGAAAGTTCATAGCTGGTCATGTAAGCTCCTGGAAAAGAGAGCATTTGAAAATATGGATGTGGACAACATAAAACGTCAGAGCTTGCTGTTTTGCTGGAATGTTCTATTGTTTCTCCTATGATGATATTAACTGACTTGTATTTTTATTTTGTAGCTTGTGCACTGAGGATGTTGGGATTATTCTCTCTTTCCAAAGCACCCTAGCTTTGTATCCATGTTTGTGCTTGTTATCTCTACAGCTCTCAATTTGTATATTTGTTTGCCTACTTTTTCTAAATTGTCTCTCTTCTCTCTTGATTTTTTAAATGTGCAGACTTTACTATCTGTATCTACCTGATTGTCATATATAGCAGAGAACTGAGCAGTTAATAACTATATAATGTAATAGCTACCAGGTTTTAAAACAATGATCTTTACTTTAAAAAGGTCTATATTTTGAGTGATGTTCCTATTCCTTCATAATATATGCAGTAGTTATATGGGAGCTTAATTAGTTTAATAGATTTTTTGGCTCATTAAAACCTTTGCTAGCTAACACATTTTATCAGTTCATCTCATACTTGTCTGCTAATGGACACGGAATATTATAGAAAAATGCAAATCTGATCTTCATATCACATTACATTTGTATTAAAATGATTAACACCTTAGAATTAGATGACTGTACATTCACATTTATTTTAGCTCTTGAGTTTGGGAGTTCATTCAAATTTATAATGATAGTTTAATTTGTCTCCAGGGTCTACAACTGTGGCCAGGAAATATAGTCACAGATGAAGGAAAAATTTGCCACTGAAATAAGCTTAGGAGGAATTGATGACTCTCATGACTGTTTTTGAGGTTAATAAATCACATGGATGTATTTTCAGAGTCTCAAATTCCAAAGCTACAGAACTGAAACAGTTAGGCAGCACTGAGCATCTCGGAGGGGGGCGGGGGGTGGCAGAGGCGTGGCTGGGAAGTAGCCCGCTGAGAATGTGCTCCTTACTCTGTCCTGTCTCACCGTCGCCGTGTCAGGGATGGAGTGTCTCACCAGAGCTGAAGCAGACCTCATGTTGCTGGTGGACGGATCGTGGAGCATCGGCCGGGCAAATTTTAGAACTGTGAGGAGTTTCATTTCTCGCATTGTGGAGGTCTTTGAGATTGGCCCCAAAAGAGTACAGATTGGTAGGTCTGATGACATGGAAGCCATTCAGACATTTCCATTATGCTCTTTTATATACGCTAACGCCAATGGTGTCATTTTAGGCCTCGCTCAGTACAGTGGGGACCCCAGAACAGAATGGCAGTTAAACACTCACAAAGACAAGAAGAGTTTGCTGCAAGCGGTGGCAAACTTACCGTACAAAGGAGGCAACACGCTCACAGGTGGGTCAGGCTGGTTCTGTTGAGTTTTAGCTCTTGTTTTTGGTCAACGCTGTGGCTAAGTAATGACATGATTGATTTTCTTTTAAAAATCTAGGCATGGCTTTGAATTTCATTCGCCAACAGAGCTTCAAAACCCAAGCTGGAATGAGGCCCAGAGCTAGAAAAATTGGTATTCTTATCACCGACGGAAAGTCCCAAGATGATGTGGAGGCACCTGCCAAGAAACTCAGGGATGAAGGCGTAGAGCTGTTCGCTGTTGGTAAGCACTGGGAAGGCGTTACAAAAGCTGAGGATGTTTCTGCAGTTAAAAATATTTTCTGAAGTGTGAAAAAGACAAGCACATTTTCCCTATCACGCAATTTACCAAAATGACGTGCCAGCGAGTTGATTCGTTTCTCCTTGTAATGAGACAACATTCCATGTCTTCTTGGAAGACAGTAATGGCTCAAGAGGACAAATGTACTCTTAATAGGATTTCAGAAAAGTCCTGTTTGGTTTTCCATGGCACCATGTTTATTTTTGATATCCGTTACTTTACTTTTCAGAAAAAATATTTGAAGAGACACTTTTTGGTGAAAAATTAATGCTGGGAGCATTGAGAAGTAGTTAATTCATAGTGGCCTTCAGTTTATATTATTTTTTATTGGTTTCTATTTTATAGCTATAGGTAGGTAATCCTTTCATTGTTGAGGAAAATGAGACATATGTTCTAGTTAACCTTGACTGTGTAAGGGTAGCCTGTAAAATTTTTATTTCACTCCGTGAATTTTTCCCTTTAATTAGTATCTATCTGTTTCATTTTGAGGTATCAAAAATGCGGACGAGCTTGAGTTGAGGATGATCGGATCGGATCCCGATGAGATCCACGTATACAATGTGGCAGATTTTGAGTCGCTCTCCAGGATCGTGGACGACCTCACCAACAACTTGTGCAACAGTGTCAAGGGCCCAGGTAAGGGTAGCCCAGGGTTTCCATCCTCAGCACTGTAATATTTTGGGCCAGATAATTCCTATTTTGGATGGGGAGGGGACTTTTTTGTGCATTGTGAGATGTTTAGTAGCATTCCTGTGCCCTGCTCACTGGAAGCCAGTAGCCTCCCCTGATTTGTGCCAACTAAAAATATCGTTAAATGTCTGCTGAGGAGAACATTACCCCTGAGAATCACTGGTTTAGTCCCTGATTTGAGTCAGATGTCATCAAACTAGAAATGACTTCTAGCTTATTTGAGGATACTTTTAGTTAAATGTGCCTGTGCACACACACGGAAGTGATTGGGGAAGAGAGATGCTTTCTTTTCTAAAGCACCTTTGCTCTATAATTATTAAGTTTCTATTAAATGGTTATTCCCAGACTTTTGTTTTCTAAAATTTGGTAACATTTGTTTTCCCATTAAGAATGAAAGAGGGATCTTATATATGATTTGCTTTGCCTCAACTATAGATGATCAGATATGATACTTTGTCCCTTGTAACCCTTAAATATACAGAGACATTGCAATTTTTAGAGTTTACACTTTTAGAAATGATAGAATCTTTCTCTACCTGTGAAGAAACTGAGACTTAGAGAAGTTAAATTACTCAGGGTCAAATGGTTAGAGCTGTTTATAGAGGTCTTTGAAGAAAAGATAAGGAATTAAGATTTCGAAATAAAATTATGGAACTGAATTTGTACTGACAACGGATAGAGTAAAATGATTATTCTTTATAGATCACAGGACAAAACACTGAGCATCAAAATGGAAGGTGTTTGGAAAATTAATGACATTATATGATAAAAGTTTCTTTTAAGTACTTGTAATGCAATGCAGATTATGGTAAAGATGGACTTTTATTAATTTGTTCTGGTTTTGGAAAAGTTGGAGTGAATTTTACAAACAATGTGGTAAAATTTTTCACATGCCTTGGGCCCTAGGGATACACTTATTTGACTGCTCCTTCTTGAGTTTCTCGCTCCAAACTTTTGCAGATTTTCTTTTTGGATTTTGTACAACAGACTGACCTTTTCCCTGGAGAAATGGACCAGCCAGGAAGCCAGAATTTGTAGGCTTCTGGCTCTGGATTAGCTGAGAGAGTTGTAGTTTTATTTAGTTGGAGAGAACTTTGAATAGGGATGAAAACATCTTTTATCTATTTTCCTTTATTTTATGTTTTTGTCAACTATGTAATAGTTGCATTCATTCTAGTTTCCCAGACAGTAAAATTGCTTGATAATTTTGTAGGCTTGATTATGACCCAAGTACAATAAAGGTTAGGATACTAAGAATGGAAATGCTTTCTCCAGCTTTGGCTTACAAAGAAAGTAGAAATAATTTATATGAGAATGATTTGCCATGCTCATGGAGTCACTGAATTAATTCTCTTTAAATTTTTATTTGTATATCTTTCTAGTGGTCCTATGGAGCTTAATATTTCTATATTCATTGATGTTAATTGCAGATCTTGTTCTGTGTTAGTCATTTCACGTATATCTACTCACAGAGAGCACAATCACAGACAGTATGATTTTTACCAAATTAAACAAAAATTGGTTATTATTTCTCTCTCTTTCGAGTATGGAAGTGGTTAATTACTCTTACCACTGAACTAGGTCTTGTAGGGGAACTAAACATGAATAAGAAATCAATTCTGTTCTCACAGAGCGCAACCTATAGTTAAAGAATAAGACATGAATATAAATAATTAAAAGGATAATGAGGGCAGTGAACTTGGGTGGTGCCAATAGTGATAATGACGATGCAATTGTCAGGCCCCCTATCCTTTTTTATCGATTATAAATTCAGATTTGTATTGATTATAAATTATTAAGTTTACTAGATTATAAATTGACTACAAGTCTAGAGAGAAGAGAAAGCATCCAAAGGATGTGTCAGAGGCTTTGAGAGTAGGTGACTGGGAAATGTGATGCCTTAAGGAAGAATGGGATCAAGTTTCAATGAGAGAAAATGAGCGCAAGAACCCTCTGGTCAACCATTCAGAGAGGTCTTATGGGTGATGGGCCTCCATAATGATTTACTGTAGCCACTTAGTATGTGAAAGGATGAGTGTACAAGCTTAATTTGGAAACTAATAATGTTTCAATCTAATTTCAAATATTATCACTTTGATGTAATAATAATGAAAAAAATATATGTACTTTATTTCCACTTGTAGGTGACTTGGAAGCGCCTTCTAATCTAGTTATTTCAGAGCGAACTCATCGTTCCTTTAAAGTGAGCTGGACACCTCCTTCTGACAGTGTGGATAGATATAAGGTGGAATACTACCCAGTTTCTGGAGGGAAACGTCAAGAAGTGAGTAGTCAGCACCTATGGTCCACTTCTTCCTGATGTTCAGAACGGGTCCTCTTCATTAGGGCTCTGAGAAAAATGCTGGGTGAGAGCAAGAAGGATGCAGAACTGAGTCAACAATGGTGCTTTCTATTTTTTGCTAGCAAATACTTCCATTTAAGTTTAATTAAAGGGAAAGAGCTTTGCTTAAATTCTTAAGGTCTCTAAGAATTGAAGGATATCAATATGATTTTAATTAAAATTTAATTAGAGGATGCTTGATTGGTTCATGAATTTATACTAGAATCATAGAGTTGGAAGGGAACATTAAAGATGATCTAGTTTCACCCATTCATTTTACAAATAAGGAAACAACAGGTGGGAGAATAAATTATATGAATTGTCCAAGATTGTAATCTGGTAATTTGCAAGAACAAAAGACAATGGTCTTACTGAAATATAATTTCTAAGCTCATTGCAATTAACTACTTTATAGTAGAAAAGAAGGACGTGATTATAATATGTTGTTATTGTTTAAAATTTCCTCTCTAGTTTTATGTGAGCCGACTGGAAAGTAGCACAGTACTGAAAGATCTGAAGCCTGAAACTGAGTATGTTGTGAACGTGTATTCGGTAGTAGAAGACGAATATAGTGAGCCTCTGAAGGGCACAGAAAAAACCTGTAAGTCAGATTAAAAATAAAAATTTTGTTCTTTTGTTTTTTAAGATAAAGAAACGACAGCCCATGTGGAATTTTCTCAGTCTTCTGAATCATCCCTTTATTCAATATCCATTCAACAAATATTTGTTAAGTGCATTCTTGGTGTAGGTGTTCAATAAATACTCAGTGGTTTTCGGCTCTTATTGGATGCTCCTGCCATCATGGGGCCCACTGGTGGAATGGGTAGTCATGGCTGTGATAACTTAGAGTGCAACATACCTTTCATAGAGTTATTCACTTCTCAAGGAAAGCTACCATGTGGGGAGTGGGACTAAGATTAGGAAGAGGAGCTGTACAGAGATGATCTGTTTTCCTTCTATTGGCCAGATCTTCCTGCTGGCAATGAGCTCTTCCCATTGTTTTTCTGTCCTTTGCCCTCTGGCCTTTCTTTACCAGAGAAGTTCTAATGGGTTTACCTTTGAGTAGAACTTTGAGGAGAGACATTTCTCACTCCTATTTCTGGTAGGGTGTATGAAGCCATATGAAAATATTCTTTCTTTCTTCCATTTTCTTGTCTGGGCTCCAGAGGAAAGGAAGGCCACTTGTAAGAGAAGGGAGTGGGTATCACTGTCCAAGGCAGAAACTGACTCTACCTATTATTGTTCCATCCCTTATGTCTTTCTTTTATTTCCCTTCATATTAGAGTCTAATAATTAGATCATAAGAATAGGAAATAATGTATTTCATAGTAGGCAGGATTAATTTGATAATTCTTTAAAACTTTAAACTCAATCTTTTTTAAAGCTATATGGGTATAAAGTGAAGAGGAAACTGTAAACCTTTTACTCTGCCTCATGGGCTTGACTTCAAAAACCCATAACTCCCCAAAGTTCCAGTTATTAATGCATGGCACTCTCAGGTAAAGTTATTTTTTAGAAAGGTGAAATAAAATACTATGTTGGTCACTTATGTATGAACTTCTGTGATTGAAGAAAGAAAATAGTCAAGTTAGAGATGTTCCAGGGAGCAGCAGGCACACACAGGACTGGTGTGAATGAATCAGAATTATATGTGTACTTTTTGTCCATGAGCTGCAGAATTTTAGTCATTAGTTTATGTGTGCCACGAGATGAGAAAGGTAAATCACTGGGATAGAGAGCTTCTTGTAGACCTTATCTAAAAAAAAAAAAAAAGAAAAAAAAGAGAGAGATTGAAATCTTAAGAAGTTGGTATCTATTTTGGCTTCCATGTGGACTCAATAGAATGCTATTTGAAATTTAAACTTTCTCCCTCCTACAAAATAGTTGCAACACACAGTCCTGGGTATGAGGTGGCAATGAACAATGTGATTAGTGTTTTTGGATGGAGAGGAAAGGATGATATTAACTCTCATTGATTTCTCATAGCAACCCATTCTTTATTTACCATATACAAATGCCAATAACTAAGTAGGAAACAATTAAAAAATGAGTAAAATGACAGGAATTAGACTGATGTCTGTTTTACATTCCAACAGTGCCTGTCCCTGTAATCAGCCTGAATATTCATGATGTTGGCCCTACCACCATGCATGTGCAGTGGCAGCCAGTGGGAGGGGCTACTGGCTACACTTTGACATACGAACCCCTCAACGCCACAGAACCGACAAAACCCAAAGAGGTGGGAGATACTGTTTCTTTTTCATTGGGCCTTCCTGAGAATTCCCAGCTTTAGAGTCCTTATTAACTGCAGTTACTTATGAACTAACTCATTTATACCTTTGCACACAAAATGGAAAAATAGAAAATAGATTTGTGGGCTGTGATACATTTTAGAAAACATTGGCCTGAAAAAGAAAATGCAGTTCAGAAAAATTAAAAATAAAAGTTGTGTTGTCATCAATGGGCTTTAATTGGTTGTTCCCATTAAGTGGAAATGTTTGATTTGAATGTCTGATTTCCCCTGGGCACGTCCCTATGCAGAAGCGCGTTGGGCCAGCAGTGAATGATGTGCAGCTCACTGACCTCTTTCCCAACACCGAGTACATGGTCACGGTCCAGGCCGCCCTGCATGACCTCACGAGTGAACCGGTCACTGCTCGGGAAGTCACCTGTAAGACATTGCTAATTTTTCATCTTTCCTTTTGCTGTAACAATCATGTTCATTAGGCTTTTTCTTTTACCCAATGATGCTTACCACCATTTGATTATTGGTGCATAAGTTATAGGATTATTACTCATGGCAATCAAGTTTGAGAATGAAGATCAATTCTAGACTTATGGCAGCATCTTAAGTTTATTCTAGGATTTACTTTTTTTATTTCACATTTGACATGCCCAATATTGAGATGTATCTTATAGTCAGTGTTGTCTTAAAATTATTCTTAGCCAGATGTTTATCAGGGCATAAAACATAAAACAATGGTAGATCTTACAATTGATGTTGTAGATTCAGGAAATACAGTTGGTGAGACTGGAAGGTTGGGTGAGTGTGATTTGGAGGAAGATATTCGGTTTAAGATCAAGATGTTCCAAATTTTTATTGAAGTAGAAACGATGGCATATATGAATAAGTTTCAATTATATGAATTAATCAATCACCTCAATCAAAAAATATATTGCTCATCTGTTATACTTCAATCACTGTGCTAGGGATGCATCAATAATAATTACAAAGCAGCATAGAGCACACCGATTCCTTCCTGGTTTGCACTTGTCTTGATTATCCCTTTTTGTGTTTCCTGTTTGTTTTATTACCATTTTTTTTGAAAAGTGACAATGATTGCACTTAGGACCTTTGCTTGACCTAGCTGGGAATTTTGTTTCATGCCTGTTGAGGTGGGCATGCTGGGATAAATGACTTGGCTTAAATTTGTTGAGCCTCAGATGACAGTTCTAGGGAAATAAAGTAGGTTGGAAGGAATCTTCAAAGGGGGAAAAGAGCCTGAGATAAAAGCATGATGGGGCAGAAAAGAGAAAGAACCCCTGCTTGGTGGGGCCATATAAATTCATGGACAAAAAAAATCACCTTTTATAAGTTAGATCCTGTTTGGACCTGGTGTTTTCATTGAAATGTGTCCAGTGGCAGATGGAAAGAGTTGGGAGCCACCCAGGGATGAAGACATGTGTTCTGAGAAAGCTGGGAACGAAGACCATAGTGGGCTGAAGGACAAATGTGGCCGTGGATTGGCATCTAGGGCTGGACTTTGATTCTGTGTGGGGGAGGGGAGCACAGAGAAATAAAAAAGACTGAAAGGATGGGGGTGCTGAAATGGAAGTGGAGGGAGAGAGATTTAGGAAGAGAGATGGATAGAGTTTCGATAAGAGACAAAGGAAATTAGCAGCTAGAGTGAGATGTATCTGACATAACAATAGAAAACCTCATTATTAGTGATTCTCCTCCCATTCTTTTTAAGGTAAAGCTTTCTTTGACTTGGTAAAAATTTATCATTTGCATTTTCTCCTAACCATTTAGATTTCTGTGGATTTTCTTATAAGCTTATTGGATGCTTGCTTTTGACCCATCTTCATTTTTCACTCTCATAACAAGTTGTTTTTCTATTACATTCTTATGAGAGCTTGACCCTTTTGATTTTATTTTTTATCTTAATCATTTTAAATACCTGCTAAAGAAACATGAGCCGTAAACTTGTGGTGAGTTATGACACATTATGCAAATATGATCTTATTTAAATAGAGTAGAAGACATTAACATATACATGAGTAGAGTTGTCATAAACATTTCAATTTATTCTATTTTTTAAAAAATCCTTCTTAAGAATAATTCAGCTCTACCTGGTAGAATCATAGTACTTTTATCGTCCTAACCATTTTTTTTTAGTTATTTTGCTGCACACCTTTAAGTTTTCTCCAAATAACTTCTTGAAAGCGTATGTAGATTCTTTAGAGTTTCCTGTTTGAGAATCACATCTGGACCTAATTTCTCATGCACCTCCAGTGCCTTTACCCAAACCTCGAGACCTGAAACTCAGAGACGTGACCCACAGCACCATAAATGTCTCCTGGGAACCTGCACCTGGAAAAGTCCGAAAATACATTGTTCGCTACAGAACACCAGACGAGGATGTCAAACAGGTAGGATGGCGATTAGAATGGGATTGGAATCGTTTGTTTTCCTAGCAGGTTTAACAAAAGAATCTAAACAATATAGTTGATAGCATGTTTTGAATATTGTCATTTTATTAATATAGTGTTGAAAAATTGTTATATTAATAAATCACTTTTTGAATATACATATTGGATATATATATATAAAATAATCTCAAAAACATCACACTTTAGAGAGTTATATAATTTAGGTGGTATTTTATTCTCATCCAATTGCATCATATGGTTCTCTGCATTCTATGAATTACTAAAAAATGTCAATAATGTTTATAAAACTAAAAGCTAGCAAGGGGATATTGGGGACTTTGTCCAATAACAGGAAGATAGGACAATTGAAAAGGACAGAGAGAAAGGATGAATATGTTGTTAGAGGAGTATCCTTTTGACAGTGAATGTTTTTGAGTAAATATGGGGTGGAGAGCTGTTTCCATGACAACCTGACTCAAAGAGAGAGCAAATTGAGGGGTTTCTCCAGTGAATGGGTTTAAAACATGTGTGTACTTAGGGTGGGGCATTAATGTTGAAATCTTTGGCATATAGAAATAGCTTCTCTGGGAACCCAGTTACTGATTGTGCTGTCATTTGGGTTCCATAAAAGCTAATTTATCCATGTGCACACATGCATTTCATACGGGTTTCAATTTCAAAAGAGGTACAATGAGCAGTGGGTCTCACAGGGCTCTTGTGCATAGCAAATGAGATAATGCACAGGACAACGTTTCCAAAAGCAATCAGGCAGTGATACGAAGTGAAACCCTTGAAAAATGATTCAGTTGTTTGAATCCGTAGGCAGTCATCATTTACTGAGTCAGATATGGCTCTAGTACATACTTCTTTTTCCCACTTCAGAAACACAGGAACTGTCTCCAGTTTCTGGACTCATGCAAATTGGAAACATTGCTTTTTTTTGGTACCACAATTTGTATGCTCTTGTACTGAGAGTTTCAGTCAATAACAGAGAGATGTCCAAACTCAACCCTTTGTAAAAATAGCTCCACTGCTCTATTATAGGTAGAGGTGGACAGATCACAGACCAACATCCCTCTCAAAGACCTCACCTCACAAACCTTGTACACAGTCAGCGTCTCGGCCGTGTATGATGAGGGGCTGTCTCCTCCAGTGTCTGCTCAAGAAAAAACCCGTGAGTGGTGATCACGCTTTATTGGGTCATTTCATTTCTTAATGCTCTTTTTTTTCTCCAGTATTTCATAATGTTTGCATCCATGGATTGTTTTTCATTTGTTTTCTTCTCCTCTTCTACCTTTATGTCCATTTTTTAAATAATTTCTATCCTAGTTATTCTATCAGCCACTGTTGCTAATTCATCTTCTAGATACTTAACTGGTGTGTGTGGGGTTGGGGATGGGTTAGGGGAGATAGTACATTCTTGATATAAGTTGGACATTTTGTCTGGGACAGTTTCACTAGTTATCAAATATTTTTTGACATCTTACTGTATGTAAAGGGCCATGAGGGGTAACAAAATATAAGCATATTTGCCCTCAATAATTCATGATTTTGTTGTGGAGATAAAATTAATTAACAAGACATAGGATCATGTAAGGAAGGAGAGGTATATGGCACTCAGATGGTGTGCATTTGGAATTCAGAGGAAGGGGAGACTTCCACGGTGGGAAGGTTGGGAGATACGGAACACCCTGCCTCATCCCCCCTTCCCTGCTCCATTCTGTTGCTTCTTCGAGGGACCCTAGTTTCTCTCCTTCTCGTGGAACTTCCATCGCATTTAATCGAATTATCATTGCCTGTCGGTCTGTTTTATTGATTCCACTTTCCCCTAGCTCCCTCCTAATGAAGGTAGAGACATATTTATTTTGTTCAACTTTGTATCTTCAGTGACTGGCACGTGCTCAGCCCATAATTTCCCAATTAAACAGCAGTTAAGAAATCGAGGTCTAGCGCAGGCGGCATGGCTCAGTGGTTGAACGTCAACCTATGAACCAGGAGGTCACAGTTTGATTCCTGGTCAGGGCATGTGCCCAGGTTGTGGGGTCAATCCCCAGTGTGGGGCGTGCAGGGGGCAGCCGCTCAATGATTCTTTCCTATCATTGATGTTTCTCTCTCTCTTCCTCTCTAGATTCAATAAAAATATATTTAAGAAAAAAAAAAGGAAATTGAAGTCTAGAGCCAGCAGTGTTCCTATGAAATATAATGGGAGGCATATATGTAATTCCAAATTTTCTAGTAGCCACATTAAAAAGGTCAAAATAAATAAATAAAATTAATTTTAATAATGTGTTTTATTTAACCCAATATATCCAAAATATCATTTCAACATGTATCAGTATAATGATACAACATGTATCAGTATAATGATTATGAATGAGCTATTTCACATTTTTATCATGTATTAATTTTATACTTACAGCATATCTCAATTTGGATTAGCCTCATTTCAAGCTACTCAGTAGCTACTTATGGCTCTCAGAATGGGCAGCAGTGGTCTAGAGAATTTAAATGACTTGCCTTGTCCAGTAACCTAGTGGTGGGATCAGTGCTATGTTCTGCAACTCTTACTTCCTGTACAGCGGCTCCATCGCCAAAAAGAGTCTCAGAAGTTTCTCCTTCAGTGCCCAGCTGTCTGTGCATGATCAGAGCACCCTGTGCAATGTCACAGCCTGCTCCTTAGCGTAAGGGAGTATCCACCTCTGCTATTTTCTTTTTTTTTAAATTTAATTTTATTATTTTTTAAAAATACATTTTATTGATTTTTACAGAGAGGAAGGGAGAGGGATAGAGAGTTAGAAACATCCATGAGAAAGAAACATCAATCAGCTGCCTCCTGCACACCCCCTACTGGGTATGTGCCCGCAACCAAGGTACATGCTCTTGACCGAACCTGGGACTGCTCAGTCCCTAGGCTGATGCTCTAGCAACTGAGCCAAACCAGTTAGGGCGTCCTCTGTTATTTTCTTATCACGTGACATCTCTTAGTAATTTCGGCCTCTTTCTTGAAATCAGTTCCTATCTGGTAAGGGTAGTGGCTAGGAACAAAAATGGATGCATATGCATAGACTGACAGCTTTGCATAAACATAACGTGTAGTAAAGAGAGAAGGAAATCAGGAAAAAAGGTTAGTGAAAGCAGGGAATTTAGTATATTAAACGAATACTGTCAATATATGTTTTTAACCCTTAATAGTTTCTAATAACTGGGATACACCCAAAGTGCATCCTTAACAGAAGTTTTGACGGCAAATGTGCTTGTGAAAGTGGCTCCACTCTCTTTATGTCAATGGGCCTTTTCACTGTAATTATTAGAAACAGAGTTTTTGTGGCTCTGGGTTTTGTGTAGTTGGCTTTGGTTACCAGGAGATAGAGAAATAACTGGCAGTGAAAGTCCAGGGCTGGTGGCAGACATTCCAAACTGCTTGTGCTGCACATCACCAGTGTGCCTGATGCATGGAGGGCTGTTTTCCTGGGATGGCAGCAGCCATCAGCATTGCAGGGGTTTCCTCTCTGTGGATAGGGGCAGTTACCGTCTGCCTCACCTTGTGTTTGAGGTTAGTGACTATAGGAAAAGCTTATGCACGGATTACTTCGATCATAACATTTCATGGACCATGAAGTTCATGCACTCTCTCATATGATACGCCGGACTTTCTGCGTCAGTGTCCTGCAGGGTGAGAGAGCCCATGTTTTCATTAGAGTTTCAAAAAGTTTGAGATGCAAAATGACTAGGAACCACTGATTAGGAGAGTATGACTAAATATTACCTTTTAAAAAAAATCCCCATTTTAATAGAATATAAACAATCACCTGTAAAAATAAATGATGAGTCACCCGTTATACAGTGCTTCCAGTTTTCAGAGTTCTCTTTGTATTTTTCTTTCAAATGAACTGCATTGGGGAGATACTTGCTTCTAAACAATGTTTTCAGTCAGGTTTTCCATGTCCATTAAAATAAAACAAGGCAGGCTCATTACATTAAATTAAATTTTGTAGATCATATTAAAAAATTAGTCCTGCCTTTTCTCATGACAGACAAGGTGCCAGCCCCAACAAACCTACAGATTACAGACGTAACCACAGAGAGCTTCAGAGGAACTTGGGATCATGCGGCTTCAGACGTCTCTCTCTACAGAGTAACCTGGGCACCTTTTGGAAGCTCAGATAAGATGGAGGTAGTGCTAACTCTTTTTTTCTTTTTTTAAAAGTGCCCCATTTAATGATAGGAAATCTTGTTTTAAATAGTTATTACCTATGTTGCTGGAAAAGCATCCTTTCCTGCTAGTGATATTTGAACTCATGGCATGAAATCAAAGCAGGAACATCTGGCTAAATAATGTCAACAAACTGCGACTGAGTGTATGATACATATGGTGACTTAATTTGTGTGGGTTTGTTTTTTCTT